AAAAAACAACAGGTCCCTTTTTTAGAACATCGAATTTTTTCTCGCATAAAAACGTACTCTGCACAGTTCGTTTTTTATATTCTAAAATTGAAAATTAAATACATTTTTGAATATAGGTGATGCATGTGTCTAATTTCAATTTATATTTTATGCAGCCAACATTTACTCGAGGAATTGAACACGGACCTTCAAAACATCCGAAATGGGATCAGGTGCCATGGAGAAGTGAGCATCCCCCGCCGACCGGTCACACTCTTAATGGAAAAACTGGCGTCAATTCAGTGTACAAATAATGGACTAACAATTATTATGAAAAACCACAGTCAGCATTTGCCTCCATGATTAATTGTATTTGCCGACAAGGTCGTTGTATCGACCATAAAATTTACAAAATGTTGACTTTAAACAAGACTGCTGATATTCTCATTTCATCAACTTGTTTGTCAATAATCTAACTCGTTTAAGAAATAGATCATACCTAAAGTATGCTTTTGCACATTTTCTCTTGTACATTTTCCTTATTCGTCTTGTTTTTCCGCCGAAGTATCGCCGAAAATAGACAATGATGCATAATGAAATCATGCCAAACGATAACACAATAAAGTATTGTTTATCTTTACATTCTTTTTTGTGTAAAAATAGTAAACTGTTACTATTGAAAAGAAATATGTTCTTTTTAACTTTTGCGGGAAGGCTGATCTTTTATGATAGTAGATTTAAAAAATTAACCCTGAAAAAAGCCAGCTTTTTGACATTGAAAGCAGTCGAACAGATGAGAAATACTGATATCATCTTGCGCTCTACAGTCATGTAAATATACAGAAAATACAGAGGTTACATAAGCTACACTGTTTCTGTGTCTAGACAAGGCAACGGACTGCTTGAAAAAGAACTGATACAAAGACGGTTTTACAAGAAACCATGAATACCATTTGGGAACTGTCAAATTCTATCATCCAAGAACATATCAAAATCCTACCAATTATTATGTTTGAATTAAGTTTGAAGTTAGTAAAATGAAACTTGAATTAAGTTATTGTTGTCTCCTTATACACTTTTGCAGTATTGTGCCGTTAATTTGTTCGAAAAACCATGTAAGTTGAAAAAGGGCCTGGAGCTGCATAATTTGGATGCATTGTTATATGAAAGACATCAGAATAATGGCGAAGTTAAATCCAAATATTATTGCCTCATATCGACCAACCTTGCATATATATGATTTCACATAAATGTAGCATGTTTTGTTGCTGTACTACTTTTGTAATATGTTTTTTTCTTACACTGATGGCATATGGAAAGATTCACTCTACTAGTGATCCTTATAAGCTGCACGTATGTCATTAACGTGAATATAACCGGGTTCCTTGACTTCAGTCACACTTTGCAAAGATGATACCACTTAAACTATGGGGATGATTACGTTTACATATATATGAATGTATACTTAAGTTTTTTGTGCAACCTTGTATAACGATGAATCAGATTGTCTACGTTTAAATTTAAAATTTTTCCTAGTATTGTGTGGTCGGTACATTATTCTGAGTAACTTAAAATTGTCCCATTTTTTAGTCTATCACGATTCTAAAAGGAACTCTTAAAGAGTTTATTAGTAATTGTGCTGTATACACAGAACAATTAACCTTTTATAATTTTCAATTATTCTTTATTCATAAATGTGACCTCGTGACTTTTGAAAATAAATATAATACTGTAATCAGTTTTACCTATTCTAAATATTTTGCTGATTTACTTAAGAATATTTAATGATAAAAGAAGCAGGAATCATAAACGATAACTTCTATATTCAAAAGGGTAGGTCATTATGTAAAAACAAAGAAATATTCAGCTCTAATCGCTAAACGGCCATGAAAGTCTCTTCCAAAGTACATGAAAGCATAGTAATAATGCCTTATTTTCTTCGGATTGCCAGAGTAGCAAGATCGATCTGATCTGCAAACCCTTTTGTACATTGTTTTTGTAAAATATGAGGAACATGAATATTTGGAAGTAAATAAATAAGAATTTTAAACCAAACGTTTTTAGTTTACCAATTATAAAGAAATAAATTTTCATGTTCTTTATCTAATAATTAAGAAAGCAAATTGCTTTTAAAAAATATTATATAACAATTTTTTAATATATATGACTTAGGTCCATTTTTGAGCCAAGGCGTACAGTTAGAATTTTAGAAATTAAGGTTATTTTCCTAAAATAAACAATTTGCAGATATAATAATGTTTAATATATATAATGTCTTCGGTGCTCGGAAAGAAGCAAAAAAACCCTTTCAATGATTAGATATTCTCCGTTAATTAAAGCGTATGCCCGAAACATTTGTTTCCAACTTCTGATTGTTTTCAGTGCACATTTTTGTGTATGGCCCTTTGTATACTGGGATATGGCAGTTATTATCTGCCAATTATTATCTGGACTTTTTTCTTCTTTCTAAAAGTTTTTTTTTCAAGTTTGAAAAATGGAACAAGTCAAAGGTTGAACGATCTGGCGAATTTTGTTGGTTTGATAAAAAATTAATGTTCTGTTTATCCCCCAAAGTCCTTTACTCTTCTGGGCGTGTGGTTTTGGACTCTGTCATGAAGAAATTTAATGTAATGGATTCCTGATTCTTGGTCTTTCCTATCATAGATCTCTCGATTTTTTATCAAAATTTTGCTTTCGAGACTCCTCGAAAGAATTTGAACAACAAGACCACTAATATTTAAGAAAATGGCATATAAAACTGTCTTTGTGCGCTCTTGCAATTCTTTTCTTTCCTCAGACCATTGCTGCTTTTGTCAAGTACATCTTATTGTAAATTTGTTTTGAAGGTTTAAAGCAATGGATTCGAATTCATTATCTGTTTGAATTTCAGACAAAAGTGGAAAACTACAATTTCTGATTAGAAAAAAATTGTATAGATATATTTGCACGCTGTAGTTTTAACTCATTTTTCAAAACATATGGTGACCTTTGAGTACCAAGCTTATTTGCTGTCAAAGTTTCTTTAAAGCAATGTGAACTACCCCCAAAATGATACCTATACAATTTGCTATGTGTTATAAAGTCAATCTAACATTATTAGTAATAATTTGTTGAATTTTGGCAAACAGTGCACTCAGGTTGTTGTAAGTCTGTCGTCAAGGTCAGTATCCATTACTGATGCCCAAAATATAATTTTTTATCATTGAAATCCACCTGCTCAGCCGTTTATAAAGCAGACATTGGTTGCTGTAAATTTCACATATTTCAGTGAATATTTCTTTTGGATTCTTAACAAGTTTTTCAAAGCTTTAATGAAGCGTTTAATTTCACTCTACTTTACTTTACTGATTTTCTACCATTCGTTTTTAATGCAGTGTCTCGAATATCCCTTGTTTTCCAGCTTCTCACATTGAAACTATGTGATGAAAAGTGGTCACATAAACTGCTATCTATTCATTAAAGATTTAATCATGAGAAAAAGTCAAGTTTAATGTTATAAGATTGCTATGTTGTATGTCATAGAGTTCAGGACATTTTTATTGAACAGCTCTCGTATATATATTAATGGCAAACAGTTAAGTTTTCAATAACAAATGTATATTGGGAATTCAAACATTGGCTAGACAAAAAAAAAATAATCTTTTTTTTTTCTTTCACAAGATTGAAGTAAAAACATAGAATGATAAAGCCATTGCTATTTTCCTTTAAGATAAAAGTAATTTTTTATTAATTAGAAACTAGTTGTTTATTTTTCCTCAATAACTGTTGGCTTTACTTGTACGGATTGATTGTTTGGCGTAAAATTTATAAACCTATATGTTAGAAAGCCAGTGTAACATTATTTGACTCATTCATAGTAAATCATATCATTGGCTGTTTGCAGTAATAAATATAGATTTTGATTTTTCCACATTTTTGTCATTTAAATCTTGTACTTTCTAGATTTCATAACACAAAGTCTATTAATGTTACTTTTCTTATGTTCTAATGTTAGAAAAGAACTTATTTTTATAAAAAGAATTCTTGAATATAACAACTAAAGTCATCTTTATATTTTTAAAATTTTTATACGTTCAATTGAAAATTTTGTTACTTTCCAAATTTTCAAAATAATTAGGATAAGGATGGAAACAGAAAAGTGGAATTTTTTCAACATCGTAGTATATACATGTATGTTTACAATTTTTCAATATCTCATTTGAAAAATTATTCTAAATTTTTACAACCAAAATAGTTCCCAAAACATATACAATTTTTACCATATTTTCTTCAGTTCTAATTGTGCAAATAAACTTCAGCCATTTCTATCACAGTTATCTAAATCAATAAACTAGATTAAAAAGAACTAAAGTAAGAATACACCGAGATACAAAAACTTCTTTATTATTATCATAAAAACATTATTGAAAACGATACAAAAATCAGCAAGTCTAACATCTTCTGAAACAATTTTTTTATCGTACACTGATTTGTTTACACAGATGAGAGCCTGTCCATGAATGCTATTTTCATAGAATTTAATATCTTAATCAATGACTGTCTATCGTTGAGAAAAAATGAAAGGAGATAAATTCTAAACTCGATCAAAATTTAATTATAAACGAATAGTTAGAAACGTTGGGATGAAAGAAATCATCTGAAACAACTTCTTTCTAATTACATGTGTTGATACTCTTAAGGGATATAAACATCTGACTAATACTTGTATAAATAACCGGAAAATCCTAGAATGCTGAGTTATATGAAAGAAGTATCACTGCATCCTGAATTTTATATGCCTATGAGAGAGAGAGAGAGAGAGAGAGAGAGAGAGAGAGAGAGAGAGAGAGAGAGAGAGAGAGAGAGAGAGAGAGAGAGAGAGAGAGAGAGTTAATCTGATGAACAATCTTTTTCCATATTCATATTTCCATAGTATAAAAAAGACATTTTCGATTACGCATGTATATTTCATATACACTGTATATTGAATTATCAATTTACATCACAAAAGAAGCTCTATACTTTAAGATTTCACAATTTCATTGTAATGAAAAAATACCAGAGCATATTTTGTGAGTACCAATCAACCGTAGTCAAGAGCACCGAGGGTTATTTGGGTATCACAGAATATGTAATTGATTAAAAAAAATTCAAAAAATATATGCCAAAAATTTAAACCACTGGTACTCAGTTTTGTTCCAGTATTCGTGATATACATGTACGAGTCGTTTTTTTTTTACTATCTGTATATTGTTTTTTTTTTATTTTGCATTTAATGGACAGCTGTCTTCTAGACTCATTGGCATGTAATCATCTGTGTCCTCAAATTTAACATCACCAGGTCGACTGTTGGACATGTCCAAATAATCATCGACATTTCCAGACTTACGCACTGATGGTTCTGAGGTACTTTTGGCGTTTCTAAATAGTAGCCTCAACCTGTCTCTTAATACCTTGGGGTCGTCCACATATCTGCCAGGACTGTCAACAGAAATGCTTTTTTCTGGAGGTTTGTGAGCTCGTTCATGCTGAGCAGACAGGTCTGGACTTGTGTATCTGTGTTTGAAAGGGGTAAAGTTTTTAGAGAACTTTGGCGGTGGTGGTCTGGCAGGCTTTGGCTTTTTAGCTGGTTTCGTGGAAGATTTGGTTAGATCGTTCGAAACATTACTTGAAACAATCACCGATTGGGACTGAAGTCCTCTTTCCTCTATGCAATTGTCCATTCCCTGATTCAATTCCGATTTCTTTTTCTCTTTTTCATCCTCCGAATTTTCGGTTTTCTGTACAGTTCCAGGCCTATGTGCGAATTCATATTCACAAGTTTCATCATTCTTCTTACTTACATCTGACGTAGATCCAGTTTGTAACACAACATTTTGATAACCCGATTCCTGATTGTCGTTTTCTAATTTAAATTCAAGTTGCTCAACGTTTTGATAAATACTACTTGCTTCTCCATTTTCTTCTCCTTTAATATCAGAGGAATCATCTGATGCTTTTGGAGTTTTACACGTTTCGATGTTTTCATAAAGACATTCTTCAACAGGTTGTTTGAGCTTGTTTTCTTCCTCGGGAAATACATGTGTCGTGGGATTAACAATAGCAACCTTTTTCATTGATTTCGATTCATTCTGCATGTCAGCAACCGGTTGAAGATAATCATCAAGACTATCGTCAGTGCTGTTGCTGGCAGTAGAATGCAATGACCGGTTATTTCTCATCTGCAAAGATTCTATGACGTCATCATTGAGTTCTTCTGCTGATTTTGAGCGTTTGAGATCATAACCCGGGTTATTTACACCAACGTCATGAAGACTTTCCAAACTACTGAGATCAGAGATGGATTGACTTTGTTCCTTACATTTGCTGTGTGAGAAAAGTCTCAGTTTGCGCAGCAGGAACATTCTTTTTTACCTCCTGGAATAGAAGAGCTTTTAATTAAAACATAATTAAAACATAAAACTTAAACCTTTATTTTCATTATAAATAATATGTGCAAGAATACATAGCAATTTTTATTTTTTTTTTAATTCGTGAGGCCTATACCTATAAGTCTTAAACTGCAGCTTGTTTTTTTTATCTTTATTACACAACACGAACGTTGTATACAAACAATTATGCTGAACTACTTATATAAGAAACACTCATCTGCCTCACGTTTATAACAACATTTAATGCGTATAATTTCCGGGAACTAATGCCTAAGTGTACCAAAAGACCTTGGATGTTGTCTGAGTTTACTTGACTCATGAAAAGGGATGTGCAAGCACACTCGCTGTCTGGGAAAATACATTCAAATTAAGAGAAAGGTACTTTTAAAGCAGTGTGTGACATAAGTAAATTGATTACACAATAAAACCTACTTGAAGATGCATTATTCCCTTTGATATGTTTTTGTCATTTCAATAGTGAAGCAACCATGTGTCAGCATTGAACATAGTGACAGGATGCAGTCAGAGTCATCTTCCAATTGCGAAACATCCCAACAAAGTTAATTAAAGTTTAAAGAGAGTAGAGACCAATTTTAGCGAGGAAAAAATAAATTCAAAATTTTTTAGGGGTTCTGCAGTTTTATTATTATTATTATTAATTACGAAATCTTATACCTTGAATTGGAATTTCTTTTTTTTTCTCTCTCTCTCTAGGAATAAAATTTTAATCCTTCTCGCGAAATGTTCAAATACATTTTGTGCAGTTTAGATTAATGATAAGTTTGAAAAGTTGAATAAATAAAATTTGTTTACCATTTATTAGATACAATTAGATTTAGATTTGTCATTTATTTTACTCTAGTTTATAGTTTAAATGTCAACGTTAAAATTCAAATTCAGTATGATTTAGCAACTGGATATTAATATGTACATGCATCTTAGATATTTTAATTATACCCTATTGATTAAAACTTGTGCTCTATTTATCCTTTTCTTTTTGACAAATAATTACTCCAGACAATTATAAAAGTCTCCTTCTCTTAGACTGTGCGAACAGTTCGAAATTGTGCATTTTTTCATTTCTAATTTAGATTATATAGAAAACTTTTTTTTATTTTACATCTGGGCTTTTTGTAAAAAATTATCACATAAACATATATGCAGACTAATTTACAATAGAATATTAGTGAAAAGAAGTTTTTGCTGATTAGAATATTGGAATGTCGAAGTTCCAAAATAATGAATTTTAATCTTATGAAAAATAAAGCACTTACATGAAGTATATCTGGATTAATAGCCACTCAAAGAGAATTCGTCTTGTGAAATATTTTCCTGTACAGAATATAATTTTGACAACATACCGAGACAAAGGTTCCGGAAGCTCTCAACAGATGGCGGAAATTGGTCAGTGTATAACAGTCAACATCCGGTAGTAAGTATCCCTCGATGAATTGATAAGTTAGTGGCGGATCAAGGATAATACAAGGAAAATTGTAGATTTTTTAAATAAAAATCAAAACATATTCATAGTTAAGCATCCCACCTTAATTTACCCCAGTAGGGAAAGTTAAGGGGTCGAGTTTAAGCATGCTCGATTCTACTTTACATGTGACGTGTACTAAGGTTGTTTTCAAAAAATATAAATCTTTCGTGATAACCCTAATTAACTGAGAAGAAAACTTTGAAGGTTTTCTCCATTTACTGCTATCTTAATTTTGATCGCTCATTGTGGTTACAAGCTACCCCTTGGGGTCTTAATGGTTCCACTCTACCCCTCGGGATTATGATTTTAATAAACTTGAATCTACATGAGGATAATACTTCATTACGACGTTGACTAACGATGGCTTTAACATCGTATTTACTGACTGACTGTTATTGAGAAGTTTTTTTTATAATATTCTTGCGTATCATTTTGATCGTTTAGTGTAACATTATCCTAGCACGGAGAGGGGTTCATAATTTCGATAAAGAAGCTTGTTAAATTTTTATCATTTTTGAACTAGTGATAACTGAGTAAAAGATTTCTTTTAATGTCATTTTATTTTTATTAAGTATCTATACCTCCCTTTGCAGGAGAATATAGTTCTTCATTTGAGCAAATTTTAGTCCCCTTTAGCCAATGATACTTTTTGGCAAGTTTGTTTGAAATTGGCCAATTAATTCCGTAAAAAAAGAAAATGGAAAGAAAACAGAAAAAAAGATCGATGTGACACTCCAGACGGACACCGGACATTCTTCAGTTTGAAAGCTGACCTGAACTTTTGACAAAAGTGAACTAAAAATCATTTCCCAAAGACAAAAGAATGTTGGTTATCAGATCAGACGACAGCAGCCCAAGACTTTTAAAACCCTTTCACCAAGAATGAAAATAGGCTTAATCGTTTAACCTATATTTGATCTTGTCACACGAGTAAATTTGGAATAAAAGTTATTTTTTGTGCAGTATATCTTTGTAAATGCTACCCGATCAATGCATAGAGCTCACGGCGAGAGTTAGTCGTCAACAGGGGATGCTTACTCCTGCTAGGCACCTGATCCAATTTCTAAAATTGTCAAGTGTCCTTCCTAAATATCCTCTTTACATATCTGTATTGTTCATTGAAATTTGTTCAGATCGACTACTGGTTGTTATCGCCATCTTTTTAATTTGAACACAAACGAACGCATAAAATCTCAAAAATAAAAAAAATATAATTATTTATATAACATCAAATGATAATATTACAAAAATCAATTTTTATTTTTTATGTAAGCAAAGATCTCTTTAGTAATATATCTTTCTGTCCGTAAATACTTTTAAACAAATATGAATCTTTTTATTCGAGAATTATTGTGTGGAAAACCTGGTTGAAATGTTAGAAGACAAATTCAGAAGCTTTTTATTGAAAATAGACACATGAATAAAACAATCTAATTTTTAGCCAAAGCATAACGTAAAAAGTTTAAGAGTAAAAAATGTGCTTGATACAAACAATATAAAGCTTTTGATATGTACAGAAAGATTGACGAATTACAATAGATATTAAATAAAATGTGAAATTTTCGTTCTTTCAACAGTATTCAACGAATTATCATATAATTAAATAAATCAAGTAGAAATGGAAATATGTATACGAGGGTTGAACCAAAAATAATGTCAAAATGTCCATTTTAAAAATATGATTTATAGTAAAACTTCGATCCCCCATTGTGGCCCCATCCTCTCCCTGGGTGTTGTGATTTGAACAAACTAGAATCTACTTTATCTGAAGATGATTTCAAATAAATATCAATAATCATGGCTTCATCTTTCCTGGCCCAGTGATTCTTGAAAAGAATATTTTTAAAAAGATTTTTCCTATCTACTACTATGTAAAACTTTGATCAGCAATTGCGGCCCCATCCTACCCCTAGGGGTCATGATGTGTACAAATTTGAACCTATACTACCTGAGGATAATTTCATCTTTTCGTCTTTCCTGGCCAAGTGGTTGAGGAGAAGATTTTAAAAGATTTTTCCTATACACTCCTATGTTAAACTTTGATCGACTATTGTGGCCCCGCCCTACCCACGAGGATCATGATTTGAAAAAAAATTAATTTTACACTGCCTGAGGATGCGTCCCCATGAGTTTCATCTCCCCTGGTTCAGTGGTTATTGAGAGGAAGATTTTTTTTTAAATGCCATTAATTTACGCTTATTCATAATTATCTCCCCTTGGCAGAGGACATGGTCCTTCATTTGAACAAACTTGAATCCCCTTTACCTAAGAATACTTTGTGGCAGGTTTGGTTTAAATTGGTTAAGCGAGGAGAAGATTAAAAAGTTTACGACGACGAAGACAACGGCAGACAACGGACAAATTTTGATCAGAAAAGATCACTTGAGCCTTCGGCTCAGGTTAGCTGAAAAGTTCCCATCATGGGTAAAATATTTAACAGAATCTTTATATCAATTCATTAATTAAATTCTGTAATTTCAGACTGGTAATGAATTAAGTATATGAAATATATATAAGAGGCTTATAGATCACATGGTCACCTGAAAGTTTTATGCTCAATTTGACGAATACATGTACAGTGATAATTACATAATGATACATTGAGGTTTTGCGTGGAAAACGCAATATAAAGGAGTGTGTTTACCTTAGTGCAGTTATACTGTCTCCTGACTGCATCTAGTTACTATTAAAATTAATTGAGAGTTAATTGGATTTTAATTAATCTGATTGATCAATTTGGTCGAATTTCAATTTTTTAAGAACAAAGAGAGGTGTGATGCCAAAGTAAGAGAGACCAAGTTAGAGCCTGGGATGAAGTTTTGGTTTGGAATGTTGGTTTAAATGGTAAGAACAAATTAGCTGAAAAGTGGGAGGAAACTATTTATACTGTTAAGGAAATTCCAAATCCAGATGTTCCTGTTTTCAGAGTGAAAGCAAAGGGTATACCAGGCAGAACAAGAACTTAAATATGCTTCTCCTTTATTCTGTTTTCAGGAGGGGGGAAGGAAATACAGAGAAACCAACTAGAAGGTAGGAAACAGAGGCAAAAACAAAGCGGAGATAGACAGGTGTCAGCAGCGACAAAAAAATTCATTCATTGGATTCATCAGAAACAAAGGGTAAAAGTGACAAAGAAGAGTTGACGACGAGAGTGAAGAGTGTTGAAGACAATTAAGATCAACGGAAGACAAACCTGCACAGCCCTCATCTACCGGTATTCAAGATATTTCATCAGTAGTTGATGAAGGTTATAGTTATTCAGGTATTAGTCTAAGTTTCAATTATCATTTCAGTACTCGGAGCTGGGGTTAACGATTCATCCCACAGTGGAAATGAGCCAGTTAAACTAAAGACAGTGTACTTGAAGTGTCACAGAGAGCTCTAACCTTAAGTCGCTCAGCAAGAGTTAAGAAGCAGCCAGACTGGTATGGTCAATGGCTAAGTTCAGAAAAACATTGATTGAAATATAGACGCTCGGAGTAAAGTGATTAGTGAACTCAAAGACTTCTTTGAAGTGAAGATAGTGTTTTATCATTGTTTGTTTTTTACTTATATAAATATTTTTCTAAATAAATGAATTTATGCATTACATTCATTGATACATGTTGTTTATTTAAAGATAAAAAGTTGATACTCTGATTTACAGTGCAACCATATTCCGACCTTGTAATGGTCCGACAGTGTTATGGTCCGACACCATCATAGTCCAAATTATCTAAGATCAGCAAAAGATTGGCTCCCTCAGCGAAGATCCGACGTTGAATCAATGTTAGCAATTCAACTCAATTTGAATTCAATGTTGATTCAACGTGAAATTTTCAACGTTGAAAAGTCAACGTTGAATCAATATTGAATCTAGATTTAT